CAAGTTATCACCAAAGGAGAATATACATGGTGACTGAATAGAGTAGGAGGTGAGAGAACACAATGAAAGCTAGGACCCCGGTTTGGAGGCAAGTCTGGTGGGTTGGTACCACCATTATCTGTTGTCCCTGAGAGGTGGACAAGTTTGGTGGGGTAGGCGGGGGGAGGATGAGATAAATTTTGACTTATGGAGTTTGAGGTGTCATGGGACCTCCGGATGCCCAGTAGGCAGCTGGAGTATGAGCCTGGAACTCAGGAGAAAGGTCTGGATTGAAGAACTAGATGCGGAACCATCAGTGTAATGGTGGTAGTTTAATTACAGGAAAAGATGAGATCTTCCCCGGAACAGAAGTCGGAGTCCAAGTGCAGAATCCTAGAGACTCTGTACTCTTATTTAAAGGCTGGGTGGGCAGCCAGAACACAGGCATAGAAAAACTAGCAGAGATGTTGACTATGAAAACCGAAGGAGTTTCAGGAGGGGGATAGTTAACAGTCAGTACTGGGAAGAAGTGAAGAAAATATGTTCCTGGACCTGAGAACCAGAACATTGCTCCTAACTTCAACAAACTGTAGTTTCAGTTGTGCGATGTGGAAGAAGCCAAATTGTAATGAATTAAATAGGTATCTGGGAAATGGAGTAATTTAGTACGGGGGCTGACTCAGTGGTTCCCAAGTCTGGCCACTCCTCAGAATTATCCAGGTAATTTGTTTAAAATTCTCATTCCTGCCAAAGATTTAGTGAGGAAGACATGAGACTTATGAAAGTTCTTTTCCATAAATTTTGTTCAAAAGATCTCTTTTGCTCTCTTCCATTTGGACCAGGCCTATCAAGGGCTAACTGACTGGAACCCTAGAATTTTGCACGGATGTTGTTCGTTTTAAAGAAATATTTGTTTTGTTGCACTCCAGATGTAACTTTAGATCCTACCAATTTTTTCTTTAAATCTTATTTATTTATTTATTTTGCGGTACGCGGGCCTCTCACAGTTGTGGCCCCTCCCGTTGCGGAGCACAGGCTCCGGACGTGCAGGCTCAGCGGCCGTGGCTCACGTGCCCAGCCGCTCCGCGGCATGTGGGATCCTCCCGGACCGGGGCACGAACCCGTGTGCCCTGCATCGGCAGGCGGGCCACTGCGCCACCAGGGAAGCCCGATTCATGTATTTCTTTGTACAAGTGTCTATTCAAATCCTTTGCCCCTTCTTAACCAGGTCATTTATCTTTTTATTATTGAGTTATGAGTTCTTTAGTCTGGATACGTCTCTTATCAGATATATGATCTGCAAATATCTTCTCCCATTCTGTGTTTTCACTTTATTAATGATGTTCCTTGAAACACAAAAGGTTTTTCATTTTGATGAAATATAATTTATCTACTTTTTCTTTGGCTGCTTGTGCTTTTGATCTCATATCTAAGAAACCACTGCT